TAGGTCACCTAAGGGTATCTTTGGGCAAAATATGAGCGATTTGCCAAATGGGTCATTGACCGGCGGTTCTCGATCCTAACAGTCAGCCATTCTTAATGCCTAAGTAAGTAAGAAGTAACCAAGATCCTTTACGATTTAAACATGATGAGATTAAAAGCACTACATGCTTGCTACAAACCTGGCCAGAAGTCTTGGGACATAAAGGCAGTAACCCATAAAAAGGATTCCTTTCCCCCCTCCCCTCCCCCTGATGCAATGTTGATGTCACGCATTCAAGTCATTTTCGTCAGGTTCAACATTGCTTGGGGGAGGGGAAACAAAAGTAATGGTTTACTAAAACAACAACAGAGCTTATTTCACGAAGTACATTTACCCTCTTAATTTTAATAACTGTCCCATGAAGTTTTGACCAGGGTTGTCCCTACGGCCCTGCTTTTAAGAGTTGAGAACTAATACCTGATATCAATTCACATAATCTATGTCGGATAAATGTAATTGAGTTATGATGATACTGATTTCAAAGAATCATGCATGTTATTCGAGATCTACTACATTTTGCACTAATACATTATGCTTTAGAAAATTTATTACCTTTTGTGTTGAAAAGTTATCACATTTTGCATTGAATACTTAAGTATATTTTGTGTCATGGTTATTACATTTTGTGGTGTAACAGTCATACAGTATTGTGCAAATGTAATACAAATGTATTTTGCCGAAATTCAGGGCTTTTCTTGGATTTTTGATGAAAAAATATTGAATTTTTGATGGAAGCAAATTTTCGATGAAAAGCCACGATAATTTGCAACACCTATTGTTTCCAACTATGCGAATTTTCTAATGAAGATTCACTCAGAACAAAAATTGACTTTGCATTTTTGAGCAAAAATTCGCTCTGTTCGATAAATGACTTTGAACATTTGAGTGAAATTTTGCTCTTTATTAGCTCTGCTCAAAAATTACGCTTCTTTTCTGCTTAGCAACCTCCTGCGTGCATCCACAACTCAATAGTGCACGCTATGGCGTTTACCATTTGTTAATTAGTTTATTTACATATGCCTGTTCAGCGATGTCATTCAGGGCGGTTCATGTCACAAAAATTCGCTGCTTTGAATTTTGCTATCTTGAATTTTCGTTTGGTTACCTTGAAAATTCGCTACTTTGAATTTTGCAATCTCGAATTTTTGAGAAAGATTGTGATTTTTTTGCTTAGAACCCTACAAAACATCTTTAAAAAATTTGACGACTTTTCGTGGAAAATTCGTGAGAACAAAGGACGAATTTCAACAAATTTCTTTTGCATCACTTTTGCACAATACTGTACATGTACGAATAATAACGTGGCAAATATTCATTAGCAAGTCAATAGTTGCATGTTTTTGTTGTCAGTATGAGGGATTTTAAGCTTAAGGTTACACAATACCATTGAGTGATGTTATTCTTGCAAGAGATGGTATTCTTTAGAAAAACTGTTGCGAGTTTTCACTGTCTGAAGAGTTGTAAACATGTCATGCCTTTACTTGGATGTATGTCAAGAGAATATGCTGCCAGCCAATGAAATAATGGCACCCCTGCCTTCCACAGTGAGCAAAAGTGTTATTTTTGTGGGAATTCCAAGGCAATAATGGTGTAATAGTTACATTCTCATTGTTAAACTTCAGCGTGTTTATAGAGCAGTCTTCACCTGGAGGAAGCTGTTTTGCACAAAAAGTCCTTGTGCTATGAAGATTATGGCACCTAACTGTTTCATTAACTTTTATTTAAAAACCTCTTTTTTAACTTGTGCACGTTTTAAGATTTTACTTTCATTTTTTGGGAAATGTTAAAATTTATAGCAACCTTTTTGTTTTGCTTGGAAAGAAAAATTTGACAAAAGTAGCACTCTCAAGGTATTGTGTAACCTTAAACAAGTCAACAGAGAAAAATAACTAGAGGACAGAAAAACAAAAACCAGAAAAACTACTAACAAGTTGCAAAACTGCAATTAGCTTAATTAGCTAAATTGTGTTTTTAACAACTAGGCCCAGGTGAACATAAGCAGTGGTAAGATCAAGCAAATGACATTAACATACCCGAAACAGGCGAGCCGGAAACATTACTTGGGCCTGATCGTGACCATTTGGCAAATTGCCCTCTATCCTAAAATCAAAGAAAAGGTATTTTAACAGAGACAATTCCTCAACTAAAATTGTCCATATATGATTATGTAATACCTATACCCTGCACGAGAGAGACATTCCCTTCTCTTCCTGCTATGGGATAGACAAGAGGAAACCCATCAACCAGAATGCTACATCACATCTGGGACTTAAATGTATGGTCTGCATGAAAATTCAAAGTAGCCACTTTTTTTCTTATCAAGCCATGCACAAACTACAATCCTGGTAAAAAGTCTTGGGACACTTTTGCCCAAATACGGTCTTTCTGTCCACCTGCCCCTGCCCAACCCGAACACAATGTTGATGTTGATTCATCCAAGGTAGACCCACTATTCAAACATTGCTTTGGGGGGAGGGGGATACACCAACTTGAATAATAGGGGGCTTAAGCAAACCACGACATTGACGGCAATGAGAATGTCACAAAACAAAAAGTTTAATGAGCAGAATGATGGCTTTGCATGCGATAAGACTTTGTACAGTTCTTTGCTGTCCTCTGCAAAACAATGTGAAATGACCAAGTTCTGCATAGTATGAGGAACGGTGATGGCTAATTTTTCGTATTTCTATTTGAAATTGAACGCTGTTGTTGCATATTTCACCTGAGCACATTTTCAGAGCCATTGATGTACAGAACAGATCCAGACAATTGCAAATTTTGCTGGTATTAAACACAGTTTGTAGTTTTTTTGTGGCTTGTTCAAAGCACAAGCTACATGTACAGGCTGCCATTTTAAGAACAGGTGGATGACCAATCTCGTGGCTAGAACAGTTTAAAGGAGGTCATTCCAAAAAGCTTACTTTTGTTGTCTTCCCCTATAGCAAGTAGACATTCAGCTTTTTCACTCACTGAAGTTTCAGCCTCTGAAGCACCTGCTATCCTGGAGGAAGTTTGTCTCGAAAGAAGCCCAAAATTCTACTACGGAGGCCGCTAATTTGAAACAATACTTGGCAGCCAGGCTGTGTTTATGTGATGTCATTCTGTACGACTTGAAATTGGTGGGAAGGAGAAAAACCTGCAACTGACTTTGCATCCTTCACTACAATCATGGACAAAAGCAGTGCAGACACTTCCCGAAAAATACCTGTTTTGTTGAATGCAAGTTTTTCAATCTCCAATTTTCAATGCCAATAGAAAGCGTTTGTTTTGTCAACACTTTTGTCCATGATTGTCTGAAATTGCCTTTCAGCGAAAGTAAATAGAAATTGTACCACATACATGTGTTGAAAATACTGATATACCATAAACATTGCAATAGAAACTGTCTAGTTGTAGTTTAGGTCAGGATTTGGAGGCTTAAAGGAGCTCAGTCACGGTTTGCACATTTTGAAAAGTTTAACCTAAATTTTTCAAATTCGTTGTTTGCAATCTGCGTCAATCTTTGCCATCCCTGACCATCCTTGTTCCTTTATGGTTTCTTATTATCTCTATGATGTTTGTCTGTCTTAGTAAACTATTATTTTCTGGTTTCCTTCCATTTAATGGAGATTTTGTACGTGGCCAAAAAACACAAAACACCGTGACTGAGCTCCTTTAAGACCAGTGAAGAATAGTTTTCCACAGACTCGTTTCCAGTCTCCGCGCATTAGTGGCCCCTTTAGTGCGCTGCAATATTTAGTGGTCTTGTTCAGCACAAAATGAGTCCACATGGTAGAAAACAACAAACTTGTTTGTAAGATAATATGGCAAAGAAAATACCCAAATTTATGTCCATGTAGATTTTGACTCGCGAAATTTGTCTGAGTGATTTCGCTGATAACAAACCCAGTGATTGAACTCAGCAGCAGAAGTCTGGCATGACACAAGCTATCGCTGACAATGCAACAGTTCTTGGGAACAGTTGCCACTCATAAAAACCAGATTTTCTGCTTCTGTCCTTGATGTTGTTAGCAGAATACAGGCCCCGAGGTGGCTTTGCAACGATTCACAACGGTTCACAATGGTTCACGTAACACAAACAAATGTTCTTTAATAGGGGATGTGAACCGTTGTGAACCACTGAAACAGGGTTTGAAATTAACAAAATCCTTAAGTTGCCATTTGGCAACTAAGTGGTCGCTAAATGTAAATTTTTAGTCAAAAAATCAAATATAAGAGACACAATCCATAGACTGGAAGACGTTCTCAATGCTCAAGGGTTTGCAATGCATTATAGGGCGATTTCGAACAGGGGTAGCCATTTTGAAGTTTTCGACAAAGAGTCGTTTACTTTAGTGTGCCTTAGAATAATCAAACATGGCGATCCAGTTGGCGATCATCGTGTTTAGTATACAAGATCTACAAGTGAAGGAACGATTACTGAGGGAGGAGAAGCTTACACTGGAAAAAGCGATTTCTATGGTAAGAGCGTCCGGGGCTTCAAAAGAACAGATTAAAGCGATGGGCCCAAAGGAGCAAAACATTGAAAATCCGATCGTGAATGAAATTCGAGCTGGCAGCGGCAGACAGAAAAAAATCCTTCACGTCAACCGAGACCAGGTTCGGGCTCACAAACAGGAAAGTGCACGTTTTGTGGTTCTTCTCACTCATGGGGATCTTGCCCTGCTTTGGGCAAAACGTGTGAATACTGCCAGAAGCGAGATCACTTTGTGAAGGTTTGATGAAAAAGACTGCGGGATTTTGGCGGGAAAATGGTATACGCAGTTGCTGAATCAGAGGGCAGTGACAATGAAGCCGATCTTCTGACCTTTTCAGTGGATTCCAGTGATGAATGCCCTTCTCAAGATAATTGGCACATCTCGCTCAAGATTGCTGATACAAGTGTGAATTTTAAATTAGATTTGGGTGTTGATTGTGATGTCATTTCCAAGTCGTTGTTGGCTCAACTTCCAGTTGGTCCCAAACAGACCTGCCAGTGCAAAGCCAAGCTGAAAGTGTATGACGGATGTCGAAGCACACCCAGTGGCAAGATCAGCCTAACTTGTGAGTACAAAGGTGTAGTGTATGTCCATATATGGTATTTCCTTATTTGGAAGTGACCATGTGCTTGAATGGAAGAGACCATCTAAAATGGCGGATTAAAACGTTGTGTTGTCAAATCCAGTCTCTGTTTGTTCTGCAAACACCACATTTTGGCGACGAGGATGGCGGTCACATTAAGTGGATTACCGTGCATATCTCCCTTCGACTGCATTGGGGAACCAGCCACACTGGCTCAACGCTGGGACAAGTGGAAAGCTGAGTTCGAACTATTTGTGGCAGCTTCGGGGGTTGAAGACAAAGTGCAAAAGCGAGCTCTACTTCTACATCTCGCAGGACCTGGAGTCCGTGAAATTTTCAAAACGTATTCAGCTGAAGTGCGAGGAGACAACAAAGA